GGCTTAAGTAGAAGAGTTTCTGATTATCAGTTTTCCATTTCTGGAGGCTAACAACATCCCAGTATTTGTGAAGGGTTTGTTGTTATTTCCACTGCCATAACAGATGGGCTTTCATGTCGGTAGCTTGTCCATCTGACTAGTTTCAGTTCTTTGCATGTATCCTAGCAGTAGAGAAAGGGCTATCTAAGCATGGCTCTGTGTGGACCATTCATGGAAATAAAGGCACACAATGGTCTTAGAATGCAAATGGACATGGCAGTTTGTTCCTCTTCCTTCATAAATTGTCATTAACTTACTTTGCGGATGGATGTCAGTGTCAGTGGAATTGCTAAACTTGGTTGTCTGCTTGTTTGAATGCTTTTCTGGAATAAAAGTGCTGTGTTAACATCACTTAAGCAAATTGAGAAAGTGTTACTGACTTAAACAAGTATTTCATTGTGTCCCAGGTTTTGGTGACAAGAGAATAAAGTGTGTTTTGTTGGGAAGAACAAAATCCAGAATTAACAGGAACCATTTCTATTTCACACCTGTTCTTTAAATTCAAACACATTCTCTAGGTTTTTCATCTGAAAGAATTTGCTGCAGTAGTGACATTTCGGTCAGCTCTCAATGCAGATGGAAGTTTCCTGAACAGAGCTGGTGGCCAAGGCTCTTTGCTGACTCAGGAGATCACTACTGCATTATTTAACAGTTCTGGGTTTTGAAGTTATCACTGGAAACATGAGGGCTGGAAATATAGGCCATTATTACAGTTCTAAACCCTGATTTTCTAAGTTATGTCATAAAGTAGTGTATTTTGCACAATTAGGATGTTTGAGAGCTCTAAAAAATTAAATAAAAAATGTTTCTTCTTTAGGATGGCCATCACTTCGTAATAGTAAAGTTTATGATCCACTTTTCCCAGAAAGAGAACTATTTCACTACATTTTTCAACACATATACAAGGTTATCACAGAGCAGTACTGGTGCGATATTAGTACTTTTAACGTGATTGAATATTCAGTGACAGATTGTGAGAAAGATGAGAAAGGTGACAAAGCTGGAAGCAAGTAATTAATGTGAGTCTTCTCTTAATTGCAAAAAGGAACTCTCCTATTCAGGACTATTAGGAGGAAAAGAGGGAATGAGAGAAAGCTTGTGTTTGAGACAAAGATACTGAGTCTGAGCCGTGGAAAACGCCTTGGTTCCTGGTTGTGCAGTTTAACTTTTTTGCAGAACCTTGGCTGGGAAGCTTGCTTTTTTTGGTTTAATTCAGTAACACTTGTGAAATCTTCTCGGCTTCTGTTATAAGCACAAAGTATTAGTATTATTTGACTTGTTGCTGAGAATTTGCCCCAGGGTTAACTACTTCAGCCAAGTATTTCCATTTGTATTCACTGGTAGTTATATATACTGTATACCCATGTGTCCCATCAGTCCCTGTTATGATTGTGATGTGCTCAAAAAGGAAATTATGTCTTATATTTATGAAGAAATTAGGGTCATCTTACAAGAAAATATTCTGTACAAATCCAATTATGCATAACATTATTAGAAATCAGAATTCTACTTTGTTTATTTTTCTCCTCTGTCCCAAGACCACGACTTGTTCATTGAACAATACTTCAAAGAGGAGATGGTTATATGATAGATATCATATTCAGGAGCCATCGGCCATGTAAGCAAGAATATAGAGGAGTTTCATACAAGTGCACAGGTATACACAGATATGTGTCTTTCTGTTCTGGCTGGAATCCCTCACAGTCTCAAACTTATTTTTTTAATACAGGTTTGTATTTACATTATATAGTTCACAATTTGTTTTGCCTGTAATTTCAAATATTTCATTATTATAAAAGAAGTGTGATTGCAAATTTTAAAATGATTTTTCAGACATGAGAAATAACTTCCATTTTGATCATACATAAATTTTTTTTTTCCCATTTCAAGTGCAACAACTTGGTACAACCTTTACTTCTGTTTGCAGTTCTGCTCTTGCAGTAGTGCTAGCAGCTGGATAGTCAGTAATGAGCAAAAGCAACTTCAACACTTAAATATTATTGTCACAACCAGGTGAGGGTCAGTAACTTCAGCACTCCTTTCAAACGTCCCTGTTTTCCAGAATCTGAAAGTGACAGATTTATTTATTTTTTTAATTTATTGTTTTTATTTTTATTTTTTTTTAAATAGGATTTATCTTCTATGCAGAGAGGCTGAGAGTTGGGCTTCTTCAGCCTGGAGAAGCCTCAAGGGAAACCTTATAATAGTCTTCCAGTACCTAAAAGGGGACTACAGGAAATCTGGAGAGAGGCTTTTTACAAGGGTATGCAGGGACAAGACAAGGTGTAATGGCCTTAAACTGAAAGGGAGGAGATTTAGGTTAAATATTAGGAAGGAGTTTGTCATGGTTTAAACTCAGTCAGCCGCGCAGTCTCTCTCTCACTCCCCCCACCTTAGTCAATATGGTGAGCCCCGGGGGAGCACCTTCCTCCCTAAGAGGGTGGGGAGGCGCTGGCACAGGTTACCCAGAGAAGTTGTGGCTGCCCATCCCTGGCAGTGTTCAAGGCCAGGCTGGACAGGCCTTGGAGCAACCTGGTCTAATGAGAGGTGTCCCTTCCCATGGCAGGGGGGTTGGAACTGGATGATCTTTAAGGTCCCTTCCAACCCAAACCATGATTCTATGATTCTGTGATCTCAGGATATGTTTACTCAGGAGAAGGTTTGATTTGGTATTCCCAGTCTTTAAAGTATTCACAGAGAAAGTCAATGCAAACTTCATTTCCTGGTCATACAAGCAGCCTTAACACACACTTGAGATAAAGTTAATAAGAATCATAGTAATATATAATATGTTATTAGAAAAAAATGCATCTTTTATCAGTGCTGGGATTTTTTCAGTAGCAAGTAGAACTTGCAAAAAGCCCACATAGATGAAGAATTACTGCAGGAAACTGATTTTACTCTCTCTCATCAATTGCAAATTAATTTTGCTGCAGTTGTATTGTTCTAGCCCTTGTTCTTCATAGCAGATGAGGATCTCTAGTTCAACTAAATTAAACTATTACAGCAGAGTGAGATAGAGCCAGAAATGAAATATGGCTTGCATGCTCAAGTATTGGAAGTCATGCTTTTTTGGAAGGCAGCCCATAATAACTTAAAGGTTATATAATTTTAACTCTTTGGTATTCCTTAGATGGTCTAAGTTCTCCACTGGATGTCATGGCCCAGATTCATTAACTACTTTCTGCCAAAGACCTTCTGCCTAGTATTCCCAGCTGACTGCCTTTGTTTCACAAGTGCTTTATCCAACAGGACACAGTGAACTCAGGGTTTTGCAGAGTTCAAACAGGATGAATCCAGCCTGACTATGTTACCTCTGGGAAAATAGTCAAAATAACAGAATTTATAACTTTTTTAGAAGCATGAATATCTGTTTTGAGTAATAATGTTTTCATGTTGCATGTTTTAAAGACTTAATTACCCGTGCTGTCTTATCTTCTTACCTTATCTGCTGATCAGTGACCTGTTAATGCATGAAAATTGTTCTGCTTACCACTATGCTTCTCTTCCCAATTATCTTTTTGAAGAAGAAAAAGAGGAAAAAGCAACCAAGCTTCCATTCAGTTTTTGAACAAGGCTATGCTGTTACAAAGTCTCAATCCCTTCCCTGTTAGAGCTAAAAATTTGGGGATTTTTTTGTACAGGAGACATCTAGAAAAAAAAAACGAAGTTTTTTAAAAATCAAAATTTATTTTCTTTGTAAACAGGAGATGCATCTTCTTCCTTTGGGAAGACACTATAGATCTGCCTTACATTTTGGTAGCATACATTAAGTACCTAAGAAAGTGTCAATGTAGGTTTTGAACAGAATTTTTAACATGATGAATTTAAAACATTTTCTAGTGTTCCTGTCGCACATGGGATGCAAGACTGATTTGAAGGCTTTCTTATGACTTGGTCTTTTCCTGGCAGGACACGTAACTATGAACTGGTACAGTTACTATCATTTCCAGTTGCCCCTGGATTCTCAGTTCATACCAAATTCATAATAAAAACCATGGAAGGTCATTCTGTATTCAACATTATAAAATCACTGTGTAATAAGAATCTGGGTAAATGTGTTGAAATACCAAAAGAAGTCAGGTAACAAGTCCCTCTGAGAGACTGTGAATTTCTGTCATAGTCCACATGGTCACAGAGTGAGCAAGAAATGTTTTTGCAAAGACTTTGGGTGCTCATCTGCTCCTATTTACACAATAAGAAATAACAGGAATTAAAAAGTGTCAATATTTTTAACTGCATGACATCCTAATAATGTAATAAACAAACAGGTACTGTCTATTGGTAACTCCAGAGGAAAATTGCATGTGATACACTTTTGTATTTTCGTCACTTTTCATTGTGTTTTTCTGTGAATTGCTGAGTGTTTTTACTGGTAAGCTCAAAGCAGAAGAAATATACTGAAACAAAGTGGTCACTGTTGAAATTAAAGAATCACCATGAAGACGCAGCAGTTTCATGTTCCAAATCTGCAACATACGTGTAAGCTTGGAACTGCTGCTAACTTTGCTATTTCCAGGATCAATAGTCCATCTTCTGTAATTCTGAATGTGTGTCTAGGGTTTTCAAAGTAAAAATTATTTCACTGCAGCTTTGAGGAACATATAGGATGGCATTCATCCATTTATCACGTGCAAGGTTAATGAGAGGCTTCAGACAAAAATTCGGCAGTCCTAGAGATTAATTTGTTGGATAACTAATATAAAATCCCTCGTTTTCAGAGCTGAATATCTGCTATGCATGATACATCATTTAAGTAGTGATAATGAATATAGCCCTTCTGTTAGAACATTTCAGTGCACTTTTGAAATATTGTGAACATGTAGAAGACACAATTTACATGACAGTCATGGCTGGCCAGCTAATCCATAGCAGACCTTAAAACTAAACCAAATTTATTTCACGTTATTACTAACCTGAAATGGCAGTTCTTCCCTCAAATGGGCTTTAAACTTCTATTAAAACTTCCATTTTTTTTACAGTAACCTAAGGAATTAATTGGCAACCATTGGCCTGTAGAATTGCTTTACGTGCAGTCTTAGAACTGTGAGTGGTACAAGAAATATCTGTGGAAGAATCCTGAAGTCATGCATATGTTCTGAAGTCAGATAGCAATTACCTTCTAAAGACACAAGAGGGAAAACAAATGTGAAGTTACCTATATGAAGCTTTCAGTAAATTGAAAGAAAAATTTAAAGGTTCAGTACTGAATTCTACTAGCATGTCTGGTAATAATTGATGGTCACCAATAGTAGTTTCAAAAGTAGTTGGTATTGTACAGCCCAGCCCTGCATAAAGTCCTTTTAAAAAATCCTTCAGACCATGTCCAGTGTTACAAGGATGAACGAATATGTTCATTCTTCTCTTTAATTTCAGCTTCTCTCTTTTTCTGGCATCTCAAGCCTACTGCTTTCTTACTCTACTCTGCAGTTTGATCAGTCAGAGCCCATGGCACGTTTAGTCAACATATCCTCCCAAAACTCCTTTCTGCTCGAAGTATTTGCCACATTGAAATGAGACTAATAGTTTTCATGCTGTTACCTTAAGCTTTGGGGAAAATGTAGAAGAATTTTCCATAAAAACAAAGTAAGTTCTGCTCCTCTTTGGGATAAACTAGCAGTTGTGTACTTTTATCGGTGAGAATTTCTACAACCACTAAAGGGCAGTGCATGCCATATTATGGTTTCTTTTCTGCGACTTCTGAACTGTCCTTTCTATTAAGCAGATTGAGATAGAGCCCATTGCTGGACTTTATTTTTTGAGAGATTTGCGAGCTTGATGCAGTTTTTAACACATAAGATTAAAAGTCCACTATTTTAAGCAGGACACAAAGGGGAAAATTCTTTCCTTTTCCTGCTCCTGTTCAGAGGCCAACTGTCATATGCCTGTAGTAAGTAAAAGATCTGCTTGTTATTGAAACAACATTTTTGTTGGCCAAAAGTTGGCTTATATTGTAAGAAGCATCGTAATTTCAGTATTGGTACTGAAACAGAAGTACTGTGCAGATCTAAACGTCTGATTATGCCAGGCACAATGTGTGGTATTTACTGTGCAATTGAAACTCTTAGCTTTGCTAATAAGCAAATCTGATCAGGTTTTTTGTGATTAAACAAGTAAACATAACAAATGAAGATATTTGAAATCTTGACTCTTACTCATGTATTCTGACAAACATGCTTTATTTATTGATCAGGATAGCAATGTAGTAAATACGCAGTTGCTTACATTAAAAATTCAGCATCTTTTTAACGTTCAGCTAACGTTCAGTACTCATGCAATATTCTTTGTGGTATGGCTCTTTTGCCACTACATGGTACTTGCTGGACAATGCTGATGTCTTTTTTTATGGATAACTGCCGCCTTACAGTATGCTGTGTAAAAATACTGTTTTAGCAGGACAAGACTGCCCTGAGTCATTGTGCTGTTATTTACGGCAAGTATTGACCAAGTATGTGATATAAGTGGAATATCAGAGCTGTGCTCAATGGTTATTGGGTTAGTAGGTTGATTGGTCTTTTGGGTTGTTTTTTCTTTCAATTTTCAAGGTTTTGGGGTTCCATTGAGAGAAGTTGTTACTCAAATGACAAGTGAGAAATATAACTTTTCTTTCTACATGCAGTAAAGGAATAAAATTCTATAACAATCTGAACTAGAACTTGTTCTTCTGGATAATTTTTCATAATCTGAAGGATAGCTTTTACTTTAATACGTTTGTTTTCTCAACCAAATTCTAATGGCAGAAAGATTAAAAAGACTATTTTCTCAGTTTGGATATGACAGGAATGCAAATGTAAAATAGATATTTAAGTATTTCAGAGAGAACATGCAGCCCAATGGCTACTAGTCCCTCACTCTGAGGTCTAACTGCTTAGTAAGTCTTTATAAAGCATTGCCATGTTATGGAGCTCCATCTCAACAACGGAATATTGTACTTGGTTCAGGTTTTTTCCTTTAGTCTGCCTTTCGTAAGAAAGGTAGTATTCAAACTAAGTGGTTATAATTACTTCCTTTTTCCAACAAACAGGAATTCCAGGAACCTGCTTCTGTGTAGGAGAGATAAATGACCAAAGGAAGCAAAAAGTTTGTGCATTCTGTACAGCTCTTCTTAAATGGAAGAGATACTCATGAAAAAATATCAACTCCAGTACCTGGTCTGCTTCTTTTAAAGCTGGTTCTTTTTACTGAATTACCACAAATAAGCCAAGCACATGGCAGAGCAGTAAAGACAGGCTATTTCATTACGTATTTTAACATGCTGGGGTTTTATTAGTGAATTGAGCAGCTGTGTTTTGTTTTTTTTAATTATTAAAAATTCTTGGAATTTTTGAACAGTATAAAAGTATTATGCTATAAGAAAATAAAATACCCTTAGTACATCCTGAAGAAGGTTTTAAATGGTGCTGGGTATTTAAATCAAAAAAATAGGATCTACTAGGCTTTGTTAGTGTCCTGCTGAAAGGTGGCTGTTTGGTGTGGTCTCTCTTCAGACAGTTTCCAGACCAGATTTTTGTGAGAGAAATGTCTGCAAGATGATAGCAATGGACAGGTGACTTCTCTTTGGGGAAAAAAAAAAATAAAATAAAAATGGATTTGATAAAAAATAATTTCTCTCAGGCTTTACTAATTTAAAAAATATTTTAGCAGCACATTAAGATAAAGCATAGTTCTTCCATGTTTGTCATCCTATGGAGAACTGAATTCAAGTCAGAGCTACTGCATTTCTTTTCATTTCCTCCACTTAAAATTTCCTGTAAAGTTTGTTAGCTTAGCTTAAAGAAGATGTCAAGCGCTGACAAATTGTGGCCTAAATGGGAAGTTTGACAAAACTATGCACAACTGAGAACAGTGTTATAATTGAAAGTGTGAAACCACTTAAATAGTTGTATGATGGTGAAGGGAATTCCTGAGATAAGAAATTAAGTTCCTGATACAAGTTGCTAGGTATCAGATGGGTTGTTTCTCTTGGGTGGCATTTTACAGTCATGGGTTGAGGTCTTTCGTATTTTGCCTTTTGTGTTACCATTTGGAGAACTGATTTGGATTTTTGGGGTGGGCTTGCATTTTTTGCCACTAGACTATTAGGTAAAGAGATACAGTAAATGTCTTTTAGAAACACCTCCTCTGTGTAAGGAGATGAGATTTAAACACATGTAATCTCTGCATTCCTAGTTGTCACAAGGATTACATGTCCTATCACTAATGATTTCCATCACTGAGACCAAAGTAGATTTTATGACTGAAGTATATCCAGTCTGCAGGAATGAAATTGCTAGCAGTTTGGTCCGTGTCTTTCTGGGGAGTCTGGTAGCACTGCATAGTCATGTATTGCAGAAGAGGCTGTGCTCTGTTCTGATGTTCATCTACTCAGTGTCTCAGGCAGATTGCTGGCAAAGCGTGAGCCACAGCAGAAGATGTTAGCCTAAGGTATTCTCATCTCTGGTTGCTGGAGGAGAGGGAAGGCACACTGTGAGAACTCAGCATTACGGGCTGGGCTGTTAGGGAAGTGGCAGCGGTTATCTGCTGAATGAAATGCATGAGTAGCACCAGCTCCAGCAGATGGGTCTCTGTGGTGTCCATGGTGGTGTGAGCTTCCAGTCCCAGTGGGCTGACATTAATCTGCAAGGATTTACTACCTAGGGTGAGGTTGAAGAGTTTTAATAAAACAGCAGGCACTTCACTTCCATGCCATTGTCTTTCTCTTCATTTAGTCTGGTGTTTTACACTGGTATAAGCCATAAAGTATAAAGATGTATGTTTTACAACTTTATTTTACAAAATATCCATAAAAGTCGATGTAGAAAACTTTCAATATTTAGAATAAACTTTTAAAGTGTATTTGTATATGTTTATTTAAAAAAAAAAAAGATTGAATTACTGGGATATGTTACTACTGAATGGTGTGTAGCCTTTTAAAGAAGGAAAAGAAAAAATCACTGCCAACTGCTGAACAGCTAATTCACTCAATATAAAACAAAGATGCATTTCTGTAGGCTAACGACATGCATCCCATCTCCTTGACAACTGCTCTAATTACCTCAGCTTGGACGATCAATATTTGATCTTTTTCCCACCATACAAACATGTCACTTTAACTCCATAGCTTTCCCTTAGCTTTTTGATAATTTGCAGCCAAGTGAAAATGGTCCTTTCTATTTGTTCTCCCTGGCTTGAGGCCAAGGGTTCTCTCAATAGCATAATGTAGTTCATTGATATGAATTTGTTGATCTCCTGGGTAGTTTTTCACAAATTTAGGGCAATTAAAAACCTTTAGAAAGCATTTCAGTTGAAGTCAATAATTTTGCTTTTAGAAATTACTTCATCATTTTATGATCATTTTTGCTTCATCTGCTCATAAAACAACTTCAGAAGAAAGCACCATTTTACTGAGTAGTTTATATAGACATAAAAAACACAGCTTTCAGACTTGGAATTAAGCAACAATTTAGAAGTAATTTAATTGGAATGCTTAATTTGTAAGAATAAGAAAATTTTAATTCTGTTTTGGTCTCTGAAAAGTTTGGGGTTTTCCTATATACAAAGATAATGAACCTTGATGAACTTTATCATAATTAAGGAAACTTTCCAAATACATTTAACTTACAAAAGGAATCCAGTGTTGAGGCAGGGGTTGCTTTGTGCATTTTGTTTGGAATCATTCCTGTTCAGACAGGTTTTTTTCTCATAGACAGTTGTAGAGATATTTTAGGATTTACACGTATTTAAGCGGTATTATTTCATCCAGAAGGCAGGATTTTACAGAGATTTTAATGTGTATAACAGGCCATATATAAAAGGGTGCCATCTTTATATATTAGAAAAGTCAGAAAGGCTATCCACTTCTGTGGTGTTTTTTGCTGCTTATACAGATCTTCAAGTAGTACCGTGTGGGTTCAAAATACAAGATATCTCATTGTACAATCTCATGCAGAGAGGGAGTTACTGAACTTCTTTTAACATCTAGGTAAAGGATATAGTTTCCTTGGAAAGCAAGTGGTCACATAGAGCTGGAATTTCAACATCCCTTTATGGAAAACAGGGAGGGGCATGTTCTGTCATTTTTGGAGTGAATGGTTTGAGGATATTTACTTTGAACTTCTTGAAGCTGTTAAGTAAATATGTTGTCATTGAGAAACAGACTAAAGATGGGGTTCTGTGGTTACAGTTCTTTAAAGATTCTAATGATCCCTGCGTGACAGAAAATAATGGAACTTTTTGCTGAACGATGAGCATATGCTAAGATTTCAGACAGCTTCGCTTTGCAAACAGTTAATGTAATACTGATATGCATGGCAAATACATTTGATGTACATATCAGATACATTTGATAAAGGGAGCAATGGCATTCATAAGAGTAAATTAATTATAGCTGATGATGTTTGAAATGATACAAAAAGTTATTTGAATTTTATACCCAAAAATCACAACAGAAACTACGTACAAAAATCTGCACCCTTCTTAGTCTTCTACACTAAAATAGGAAGCGATCCTGTGAAGTAAGTGGTTGTTTCACA